AGCCAGCCAGGCCACCCCTAAAGTACTTTACATATACAGAATTGCAGTCTCTAGTCCATAATTCTAAAATCCAAAATGCTTGAAAGAATTTTTTTCATACATTTGATACCAAAACTCATTTGACTTCTCTTAAACTGACATAAAACTATATATATTATTAGTTTATCCCATTTAGTGTAAATGTTTATGTTTCAGTGTATTTGGTTATGGGATGCTGTCCCTAATCCTCCTGATGGTGTTACGTAATAGATGGCATATCATGTTACTTTTCTAAAATTCAAAAGATTTTTATGCCTAAAACATTTGGTCATAAGTGTTGTGGTTCAGGGATTGTGGACCTATGTCTCTATTTTTAGCACTGATTATGGTGTGCTATGGCTTTGTTCCTTTGTCTGTCCTCCCTTTTCTGAGCTAAGAAAGGTTTCCTCCTTGGGCCTACCCACAGATCCTAGTTTACTGGCCTAAACAGAGTGGCTACTTAATACTGGAATTGAATACCATTAGATGGGGCAGACTTTTACCAGATGCATTATTGAACTACAGATAACATGTTTTTTCACTTGATCTTACTTTCTTTCTAAGCAGTCTTTTTCGTGTTATGCTTCTGTTTTGTTTCTTCTTACTTTTTTGTGTTATGCTTACTATTTACTAATGATACGGTTTTTTTATTTAACAACCTTATATATGTTAGTTTTTTCATTTATAAAAATGGCATAACAATTTTGCCTGCCTCAAAGGATTGTTGTGAGGGCTAAACAGAATGCTTCTTAGAATTTAGCACTTGTTAATGTAGTTGTTATTGATTCATGCATGTCCTGTTGGTTACTTTACTAACATATGGTCAACCATTCCCATATTGGACTTTGAAGTCATTTTCAGTGCTTTGACATTTTTAACAATGCTGGATATGATCCTTCCGTATATGGCCGTAAGTCCTTGTGGCCTTATTTTTGTAGGATAGATAGAAGTGGGATTGTTGGATCACTGGGCCCTAATATTTTTCATTTCTTTTTTTTTTAAAGGTTTTTTTTTTTTTTTTTAAAGATTTTATTTATTTATTTGACAGAGAGAGAGACAGCGAGAGCAGGAGCACAAGCAGGGGGAGTGGGGGAGGGAGAAGCAGGCTTCCTGCCGAGCAGGGAGCCTGATGTGGGACTGGATCCCAGGACCCCGGGACCACGACCTGAGCGGAAGGCAGATGCTTAACGACTGAGCCACCCAGGCGCCCAATAGTTTTCATTTCAATGGATACTTCCATGTTACTTCCCTAAGGCAAAATTGAGATGTGGTGGGGAAGGTAGCAGTTTCTGGTTCTGCCAGCAGTCTATGAGGAGTGCTCATTTGCCCATAACTGTACTAACAGTGGATTTTATCAATTCATTTGCTTTTTTGTTTTTTATTTAATTATTTATCTTTAAAGATTATTTAGAGAGAGCACACATGCACACTCACAAGTGGTCAGGGAAGGGAGGAGGGGGACAAGCAGACTTTCTGCTGAGCAGGGAGTTTGATGTGGGGCTCCATCCCAGGACCCCAAGATCATGACCTGAGCTCAAGTTGGATGCTTAACTGACTGAGCCACCCAGGTGCCCCTGTTTTTTATTTTAAAGTAATTACAGACTCACAGGAAATGGGAAAAATAGTCTCATGCATATGTCACTCAGCTTCCTCCGGTGGTAACATATAACTAGTACAATATCAAAATCAGGCAATTGATGTTAGCACAGTACTGTTAACTAAGACTTGGATTCATTTGATTTCTTCCAGTCTGATCAATGGTATCCTGATTTTTTTTTTTTTATTTGCTCACTAGTAAGTTTGGGCTTCTCCATGTGTTCCAGTGACCATTTATATTGCATGTTTTACGATCATTTATTCATATCCTTTATCCATTTTCTTAAGTTGGTTGTTTGTGTTTTCCTAAAAGTAGCTCTCAGGACTATTCATTGTTTTGTCTGCCATTTTGTTTTGCAGTTATTTACTTCAGCTTCATATACTTTCTATAGTTTGGTTGATCTTGTTTTTTTTTTCTTTTCCTACATAGAGCTTTTTATTTATTTTTAAAGATTTTATTTATTTGACAGAGAGCGAGAGAGGGAACACAAGCAGGGGGAGAGGGAGGGGGAGAAGCAGGCTTCCCGAGGAGCAGGGAGCCTGACGTGGGGCTCTATCCCAGGACCCTGGGATCATGACCTGATCCAAAGGCAGACACGTAACGATTGAGCCACCCAGGCACCCCTAGAGCTTTTTGTTTTTATTTAGTCAATTTGTTTCTCTTTTGTGGTTATTAGGTTTTCTCTCTTATTTAGAAAGGTTTATCCATCTGGAAGGTTGTATACTATTTTCCTTTTTTTTTTTTTTTAAGATTTTATTTATTTGAGAAAGAGAGAGCAGAAACAGGGCGGGAGAGGGAGGGGGAGAAATAGACTCCCTGCTGAGCAGGTAGCCCAAGGCGGCTTGATCCCACCACTCTGAGATCGCGACCCGGTAGGAAGGCAGACGCTTAACCAAGTGAGCCACCCAGGCGCCCCCCTATTTTCCTTTTAATACCTTTTACTTTTTGGTCTTTAATCCAGTTGGAATGTGTTTTGGATATACTGTGAGAATTATTTTCCCCAAATGTATAACATGCTGTTCCAGCACTACTTAACATAAACTTTTATTTCCGACTCTTTTGGTTGCTTATGACTTAAAACCTCAGTGATTACAAAGGTAGGGATGACTCAAGGCAACGCTTGATACAGTGGCAAAAGTCATATTGCTAAAATTATTGCTGTTTTCCTTACCCCCCGCAGTTCAGTGCTTTTTTTGGGTGTTGTATTTTTCCCTATAATCCTTACCTAACACTTCCTTTGTCTGTCCTGTGTGTTGTTAACCCCAATCCCAGATATTTTCCTCATGGTCACATGATTGAAAGTTTTAGGCATTACTTCCTCTTACTGCTCAGGGGAAGAGAAAGAGTTTCTTTCTGAAGCTTCTCAGCAGAACAAGTTTCTTTTCTTAAATGCCCAAGTAAATAGCTCCTTAGATTGTTGCCCCAGATTGAGTCCTTTGTCTGTTCCTGAATCTGTCGCTGTGGGAGTGGGGAAGAATGGGGTGCACACAGAAATGCTGATTGGCTTTTTCAACCAGGAATTAAGGGTTAACAGTTTGGATTTACACTTGTGATTAATTCTGTCTCAGCCACCTTTATGAGGGTGGGAAAGGGATAATGTTTTATGGGAAATTTTAGGTATTGTCTCCAGAAGAGGGCTCGGGTAGATGCCAGGTAGTCAAACCACAGGTGACCAGATCATGACCCTGTCTCCTTCCTACTATACAGATAATACAGAAAGGTACAGAACTGTAGAAAGGTACAGAGATTGCAGCTTTTACATTTATTATGATCTGTTTCTGTATTCTGTTTTGTTCTAGCAACAGTCTAGAGTGTTCATTTGCCTATTTATCCTGTCCTAGAAACATACTGCTTCAATAATAATAGCTTAGAGTACATTTTAATATCTTCTTAAGAAGTCTCCATCATTTTTTCCCCAGAAATTTCTTATATATTTATTTGATATAAACTTTGGGATTCTGACTAGAATTGCATTATGTATATTTTTAAGATGGAAATTCCAAATTATATAAAAATATGAGAAGCAGCCTGGAGGCTCTCAGTACTTTCTTAACAAAAAAAAAAAATTTTTTTTTAAATTTTCTTGGTTGCTCTCCTTCTTCTTTACAGTTTTTGACCCTCAACACTTTCACAAGTACCAGAAGACAATGGACCCATGGTCCTCCTATCCCCCACAGAGATCTCCTATTTTTAAGTATACCCAAGATACCTAGCAGCCTCTTCTAGTAGGCTATTTGGGTTATTGAGTGGTACCAGCAGAGAACTGAGAGGGAGAACAGCTGGAAATGTGCAAATAAGCTGCCTTACCCCTCAGGTATTAGGAGAGATTTTTTTAAATTAAGGATGCCACACATCTTCCGTTGTATTGCTATTTGTTATGTTAGATAGGTACAAAAAGATAGGAAAATGAAATGTGATAACAGAAAGGAAAATAATATATATTTTTTACAGATTATTTATTATATGCCTAAAACTCTAGAAATACAGTAAATGTGTATTGAAATTAGTAAACATTTAACCAAGGTGCTACATAGACGATAAATATTCCAAAACCTACTTTATACCTCTTTAAGTGGTACCATGATAGGTCTAAGTACAAGAGACCATTGCATTATACGTATGTGTGTATGTGTGTGTGTGTGTGTGTGTATATATATATATATATATATATGTATGTATGTATATATACATGGCATCACTATGTTGTATACTTGACACTAATGTAATGTTATATGTCAGTTAAATCAATAAAAAATACTAAAAAAGAAATACAAGAGACCATAGAAATGTATATATTTCACACCTCAGATTCAGTCTGTTGCAGCAGTGTGCAAGATTTATATATGTATATAACACATATAACATATATATGTGTTATATATATATAATATATATATATATATATTTTTTAAGGAGACTAGTATTTTTATTTGAATCTGTAGGTATGTTCTTTCCGCCCTCTGTTTTACTTCTGGGCCTGTAAAGCTTGTGTTAAGTGAAGGAGAATGTTTTTGTTTGTTTTAAATTTCAGCTTTAGTGAGGTATAATTGACAAAATTGTAAGTGAAATACAGTATTTACAAAATAGATTTGTAAGACTTCTGTGAGGTCTGTGAGGCCATGTTTTCTTACATGCTAAATACTGGATCAGGATTAAGAAAATGAAAGAATTATTTTTCCTTTAGCTATATGAGGATGAATTTTACATCTGTTTCCTCCATGGAAGCCTCTCTGTAGATTGATAGACTTTTTATAGTTTATAAAATGTGTTTATGTCAAAGGATGTTGCTCAGTTAATTTTATCTGAAGTCAGTGTTACGTAGGATACTCAGACACAAAAACTAATCATTGTGTTCCTCTTGTTCTTTTTTTTTTTTTTTTTGCAGTGGGACTTCCCCTCTTGCATGCCTGAATGCAATGCTGCATACAAACTCCCGAGGTGAAGAGGGCATCTTCTATAAGGTTCCAGGTAGAATGGGAGTATATACTTTGAAGGTAAATATTTTTGTTAGGGCATCATTTATAAGGTAAATACATGAAGTGACGATATCTAAATGATATTTGTGTCATAGAGATAGAACTCTGTTCTTGAACAGCTTATTTTCAGGAAGAGGTAATATGTTCAATTCTGTATCCTGTAAATTTTTAATACTAATCTGTGGCCATCTGTAGGTAGACCAGAGAACTATTTTTTATTCTTTATGATAATGCTGTCTTGAAAGGATAAACTGAAAATGACTTCCAGTGACTTTTTAAAGAACCTCAGAACATTTGAGTAATGAGTGTTACCTTGGAGCATATGACTTTGTTATTTAATTCTCCATTACAGTTCAGAGCTGTGGTTCTTTTTTTTGTAATGGAGAACGCCCAAGTTCAGAAGATTGCATTTTCTTGTTTTGTGTTTGCCAGATAGTATAAGAACTGGAATATGGACCCAGATCTGACTGAATTCCTGGGCTCATGTTCTTTTTACCGTAACAGTCTTGCTGATTTCTATTTCTGGCACTGAGAAGACACCTTGACTTATCAGTGTCCCTTCAGTCACAAACAGGAAAACCAACTCGAATGAGCTTGAGTAAAACAGAGAGTTTATTAGTTCATATAACTGTAAATTCTAAGAAAACTCAGCCCGGATCCAGGAGCTCAAATGATGTCATCAGGGATTGATCTCTCTGCTTTCTTTTGGCTTTCTCAGGCAGTCTCTCTCCTATCATACATGACTTCACTGTCAACGCCCACTTGGCAGGCTGTAAGTCTGAAGAGAAAAGAGCTTTAGGAACTGAACTGGGAGCTCTTCAATTAGTTCTGATTTGGCTTAATTGGTGTGGCTTGGCCCATGTGTCTATACCTGAATAATCGCTGTTGCCAAATGCATTGAGTCTTCTGACTGGCTATATGTAGGCTCATGATCATTCTTGATGTGAGGTTGAGGTTAAGCCCTCTGCCAGATGAATTCAGAAAAGGGATTGTTTGCCAAAGGAAATTATCAGCAGAAGGAGAGTTAATACTTGGCATGCACTGGCTATTGTCCATGTGTACATGGGACTATGTCCCCTCTTTTTAGCTTTGAGCTGTAGTCATCACTATGCTCAGTGGTTGTGTGTAGTCCACTAACATTAGAAAGTTCTAATTTGGGGCGCCTGGGTGGCTCAGATGGTTAAGCGTCTGCCTTCGGCTCAGGTCATGATCCCAGCGTCCTGGGATTGAGTCCCGCATCGGGCTCCCTGCTCCTTGGGAGCCTGCTTCTCCCTCTGCCTCTCTCTCTCTCTCTGTCTCTCATGAATAAATAAATAAAATCTTAAAAAAAAAAATAGAGTTCTAATTTGGGGCACCTGGGTGGCTCAGGTCATGATCCCAGGGCCCTGGGATCCAGCCTTGCATCAGGCTCCTTGCTCCGCAGGAAACCTGCTTCTTCCTCTCCCACTCCCCCTGCTTGTGTTCCCTCTCTTGCTGTGTCTCTCTCTGTCAAATAAATAAATAAAATCTTAAAAAAAAAGTTCTAATTTACCTGTAGTACCTCCTTCTTATATACTTCATTAAACTTCCTATGATACAGGGCTCTACTCCCACGGGGAGCTTTTTGCATTGCTTTTAAGTTTTAGCTGTTCTAGACTTTCCATATCGTTAATAACCTCAATTAAATGCCTATCCTATGCTGGACACTGTAGAGACTATAAAGAAGAATAAACTGTGGTCCCTGATCTCTTGATGCGCACACAGTTATTGAAGTAATTGTATCCTAACAAAACATACTGTGATATAAAGTACTGTACTATAAGGCATCGTCATAGTGTAGAGAAATAAAGATTAATTTTGAATAAGAGGATCTAGAAAACTTTTGTTTTTGTTTTAACTTGTAAGATTTGAATTGAACTTTGGCTGGTAAGTAATGGGGGGAAGGACCTTCCAGGATAAGGAACTAGCTTAAGCAAAGGCACAGATGGAGAGATTCAGAATGGATTTGAAACTAGAGTAGATTGAAGTGGTTACCGTCATCTGTGTGGGCTTGAGGTAAGGAGTTGGGGGCGGGGTAAACATTAGGTGAAGATCAAATTTTGGAGGCTTTTTGAAAACCTGAATTAGCAGTTTCGAGAGAGAAAGCACTGAGAGATGGCAGAGGTTTTTCAGAATAGTATGATCAAATCTGTGTTAGAAAGATAATTCAAATCGGATAGATTTAAGTGATTGTTTGCAAGAGATAATTGGCCTGAACTATGAGAGTGGTTAAAGAGAGGCAAGGGACATTAGAGAAATAAAATGTATACTATGGAGTGGGTAAAAGGAGGGGTGAAATGATTCTGAGATTTGGGGCATGCACAGTTGACCAGTTGATCTTAGAAGGGTTACAAGTTTAAGCTTTAAGAATTACATTTGTACTTAAAAATACTTGTTGATCCTACAGGTCAGGAGGTCTGGCTGGCAACTAACTCTGTAAAAGTTGTTCCACATTTGAAGGAAAGGATAGAAAAATATGGGATGTGTATTTTAAGAAAGTATATAACATAGGAAATGTCTTAGAGAGAAATGGAACGAGGATATAAACATAGGAAATGTCTTAGAGAGAAATGGCACGAGGATATAAACCTAAGTGGGAAGTAATAGTTCCTTACTAGGGGAGAGGTTATTATCTTGGCTGTAATGTGAGTGTCAGTTGTAGGAAGGAGGGTCACATGTTAGAATTATTTTTTATCTGATTATAAAATGTGGGAAAATAAAAAAATATATTGAGGAAAAAAGAATTAGCCATAGTTTCATAACTTAGAAATTCACTAATATGTTTGCTTATATGTGTATATTTTTATATACTACATGCATACGTAGTAGCTAATATTTATTGAGCTCTTATTATATGCCAGGCACTATTCTAAGCATTTTACATTTAACTCATTTAATTTCAGAATGATCTTTTAAGGTAGGTACTGTTATCTCCATGTTACAGACAGGGAAACTGAGGCATAAGGGGTGAAGACTTTGATCAGACTGCATAATTAGGAGAAGATAAAGCCAGAGTTCAACTCCAGAAAGTCTTAGTTTTCTAGTTCTTGATCTTGCACCTATCCTACTATATCTCCTACATACTGTGCTGACAGAGGTATCTTTTCTGATTAGCATTCTCATTATTCAGTGGAAACCAAAGATTCCTGTGAGTTTTTAAAAAAAAGTATTCCTTGGGCGCCTGGGTGGCTCAGTCGTTAGGCATCTGCCTTCAGCTCGGGTCATGGTCCCAGGGTCCTGGGATTGAGCCCCACATCAGGCTCCCCTCTCGGCAGGAAGCCTGCTTCTCTCTCTCCCACTCCCCCTGCTTGTGTTCCCTCTCTCGCTGTCTCTCTCCGTCAAATAAATAAATAAAATCTTTAAAAAAAAAAAAAAAAGTTTACGGGGCGCCTGGGTGGCTCAGTCGTTAAGTGTCTGCCTTCGGCTCCGGTCATGATCCCAGGGTCCTGGGATCGAGCCCCGCATCGGGCTCCCTGCTCGGCGGGAAGCCTGCTTCTCCCACTCCCCCTGCTTGTGTCCCCTCTCTCGCTGTGTCTCTCTCTGTTGAATAAATGAATAAAATCTTTAAAAAAAAGAAATTATTCCTTTTGGGGCGCCTGGCTGGCTCAGTCAGTAGAGCCTGCGACTCTTGATCTTGGGGTTGTAAGTGTGAGCCCCACATGAAGAGTTTACTTAAAAATAGAAAAAAAATTTTAGATTATTCCTTTTGTATTTGACTCTTGCTAGTTATTAACCATTATTTAGGAATCAATTAGATTCAAATAATGCACAATTTCTTCTTATCCAGAGTCAGCTCAACTCACAATGCTTAATGGTACATACACACAAATATATATCCTTGGATGATGAGTATATCTACCTTTTACAAAATTGTTATTGTATAGTTTTTTTGTTCTGAACATCTCATTTACTTGGACTTAACATATACCCAGTTGTTTTGAATTTAAGAAATTAGATTTCTCTGTTGTGCTTTCATATGATTGTCATGTATAATTTTTATCTTTGGATGTAGATGGAAACGTTAGCTAATTTGACCCAAAGAAGAGAGATGACAGGAATTCAGAAAATATTGCTGGTTCTGCTACTGAATCCTATAATACTAAAAATTAATCAGCACAGTTAAGTTGCAACAATGCATATCAGAAATTTAATTCCTATTTGCTGAAATGGTAGTGATTGATCCTAATTGGATGCCTGTATTTTCAGAAAGATGTGCCGGATGGGGTGAAAGAGCTATCAGAAGGTTCGGAAGAAAGCAGTGATGGTCAGTCAGACTCCCAGAGTTCCGAGAACAGCGGAAGCAGCAGTGATGGTGGCAGCAACAAGGAGGGGAAAAAGAGCAGGTGGAAAAGGAAAGGTAAATCCACCTGATCTCTCAATAAAGTACTGAACGCTCTAGGACAAATGCCCTTGTTTTAGTAGCTCCTCTCTTTTCAGACCCAGGACAGTCCGTCTCTTCCTGTTCCTTTATGATTGGTACTGTCCAGTTGACTTTCTTGTGATGATGGGAATGTTCTGTGTCTGTGCTGTCCAACACCACACAACCCAACAACAGTATGTCTGTTGAGCACTTGAGCTAGGGCAGTTTGAGGAACGGAATTTTTTATTCTTTTTAAATTTTAATTTAAATAGCCACACGTGGCTAGTGGCTATCAGTTGGACAACATGGCTCTCTAGGTTTTACTTGGGTTAATATTGAGCCTTTTTGAAGGATGCTCTTGTCTGATTTGCCCCTTTAATCCTCTCTTCTAAAATTTGAGCACTTACTGCTCTAACAGCTCTCTACTTACCAGGAAAAGAATCTTTTCATTTCTACGAGCAAAGACTAAATTTAGTCTGCTGTTCTTTGCTCTCCCCTGCTTGGTGTCTGCTTTGTAGCTTACCCAAAAAACATTTTTTAGGGAATGATGTCTGTTGCTGCAGCATCGCTGGGATGGATTTTCCACTTAAGAATACATTTTAGGGGCGCCTGGGTGGCTCAGTTGGTTAAGCGACTGCCTTCAGCTCAGGTCATGATCCTGGAGTCCCGGGATCGAGTCCCGCATCGGGCTCCCTGCTCAGCAGGGGGTCTGCTTCTCCCTCTGACCCTCTTCCCTCTCGTGCTCTCTGTCTCTCATTCTCTCTCTCGCAAATAAATAAAATCTTAAAAAAAAAAAAATACATTTTATTACCTATTCTTGCTAATTATATGTAGCTTCTTGTCAGAGTCTTCTTGTTTTTACCTCAATATTTATAAACTTAGCTGTATATAGCAGGGCAGATTTAAGCCAACTCATGATGGTTCCTTTACAAGGACTGATATAGTGATACTCAAGAACAAAATGACATCCAAGAATTTCCCTAGCTTGGATATCCTCTTCGGTTTGTGTTACAGGTGAGCTGTCTTTGGATCTAGAAGCTAGAGTTATGTTTGTGGGAATACTTGATGCGTTAATTTTAAGTGCCTTTGGAACTGCATCAGAAAAACAGTTTGATTCATTACCATCCCTGCATTCATGTGCGTGCTACTCCTGGAGAGAACTCAGATAATTGGTGGCATCATTTGTGTTCTCTGGTAAAGCTACCACACATACAATTTGGGCAAATTTTGTAATCAGACGATTTTAGCCTTAAGATCACTATCACTTGGAGAGTAACCCAGACCTCAGATGTTAGGAACAAATGGAATAAAGTCAAGGTAAAGCTAGCTCCTGTAACCAGTGTTCTTGAGATAGATTTTAAGTCAGTAGTGAAAGGAGGTGTGGTCCAGGCCAGGGCCTTAAACTCCTCAGAGTCTACTAAGGATCTTTTCTTTTTTTTTTTTTTTTTTTTTAAGATTTATTTATTTATTTAACAGAGACACAGCGAGAGAGGGAACACAAGCAGGGGGAGTGGGAGAGGGAGAAGCAGGCCTCCCGTGGACCAGGGAGCCTGACGCAGGGCCGGATCCCAGGACCCCGGCATCATGACCTGAGCCGAAGGCAGACGCTTAACGACTGAGCCACCCAGGTGCCCCAAGATTCACAGTTTCTGGATATGTCTAAAGACAGGAAAATCAGTAACTAAGTAGGCCAGACTAGTGAATTTGGGAACAGAATCGTGGTCTCAGAGGTCATTCTTTCCACTTTTCAATAGCCATATATGAACAGTAGCTGTTTTGAGTAGTGGCTGTTACATGTTTGTTAAAGGTGATCTCTAAGAAGTTCAGGTGTATGGCGATACAGGAAGATCTAAGAAATAACAACAGAATCCCAGTGTCAATAGGTTAATAGATTTAAATAGCATAACCTTGCACTATATTTAGCATTATAATAGAAGATATTTAAAAGCAAAGTAATAGCAAATTCAGAATTGTGGTCCAGATAAACTGTTATTGAACTGCCTTTGTATTCATTCCTCTTCTAGAAATTATCACATTATTGAATATTTATCGTCAGTTTACATTATGAGGAGATGTTCTGTAAAGATCTTTTCTGATTATAGGTAGTCTCTTAAACTGAGAGTAGGGGGTGCCTGGGTGGCTCAGTCGTTGAGCGTCTGCCTTCAGCTCAGTTCATGATCCCAGGGTCCTGGGATCGAGCCCCGCATTGGGCTCCCTTCTCTGCAGGAAGCCCGCTTCTCCCTCTCCCATTCCCCCTGCTTGTGTTCCCTCTCTCTCGCTGTGTCGCTCTCTGTCAAATAAATAAAATCTTTAAAAAACAAAAAAAACACAAAAAATTGAGAGTAGAATGGGCTATATATGGTGTTTGGAAGGTGAAGGTAAGAGGTGAACGTGATGTCATATGGATTTCATGTTTACTCTTTGCTGAGCGACCAACAATGAGGAATGATTTAGTTTCTCATAGGATGTGCTTCTCTCGTTCATGGGTCATACATATGGCATGTGGCATAGGTATGTAAATTTTTAGGTACATATTATATAATCTCTGAAAGTTTTTGTACTCCAGTGCAGATTAACATGGAGTTAGCAGTAATAGGAGCAGCGTGCAAAAGAGCATTTCTTAATCAGTTACAGTTATTAATAAAGGTAAAGCAAAGTAATTGTGCCTATTCCTTTGTCTTATTTAGGGTTTTTACTCTTAATCTGACATCACTTTCTTTCAAATGCATTGTTAAGACAGGAAGAACATTGAGATAGTAGCAAAACCCACTTCCTTTTATGTACAAAAATAAAGAGCTCTGACAGCAAAACTGATACTTCTGGTTGCAAATCGATAGAAACTCTCTTGATAATAGATATACCTTTTAAGCAAATAGGAACAGAGAACAGAACTTTGAAATTCAGTCCAATATTAAAACTAGTTTATTGATTTCCATGTAAAGTGGAAGAACTTAGAAGTTCATAGTTTGGGTTCCTAATTATCAGACAGGAAACAATGTTCAGAGGAGAGCTTTATGGAATTCCAAGCCAAGGTAAGGTGGAATAAATCCAGAAAAAAAGATTAAAATCAACTTTTTCTGTTGCTTTTTTTGCAGAATCATAGCTAAGCAAAGTCTCTGCCTTTTCCCCAAAATAAAATATAAATATTGCTTTATGAAACAACAATAGAAGTATTTTTATCTTCTGGTAGAGAAAGTTTATTAAATTTTGGCCTGCTTTTAAAGTGTCTTAAGAAAAAAGTTAATTCCGTAAAATACACCTTTTTACTTACAAGGAATTACTAATTCTTCCTAGGGGCATAAACTAATGTTAATTTAATTGCTTGTTCAAAACTACTTTAAATCAGGAATTTGATTAATACTATGTTTGGAGTTATTTCAAATACCAAAGACCTGCCTGCCCTCTAATATCATTTCTGTATGTAAGTTTACTGAATGGGGATGATTATGTATATAATGTCTCCTTTAAAAAGTATACTCCGGGGAAAAACTCCTTTGGGCAAAGTTAAGTTATGTGGAGAGCAATCTTTGAGAGAGATCTTCTCTTTTTCTGTGGTGTGGTTGGCGGCTGAGTCAGAGGTTTTATTAGCTCTGTCATGTATTAAACGTGGCTCCACTATTAGGACTTGGATAGGTAGGGTACCCAGAAGCAAGGAAAGGTGCTCAGGTGTGGCCTCTCCATCTTTGATTAGGGGATTGTTTGAATATTAATCAGTAGCCACAGCCTGCCAAGTTTGAGGTAGACTGCACTTGGTGTGGGAAGTTAACAGTCTATTAACTTCTGGAAATAAAATTCCTCAAAAGACAGACTCTGGTGAAAATAAAAACTCTCCCTTAAAAGAGGGATTGCTAGGGTGCCTGGGTGGCTCAGTCGTTAAGCGTCTGCCTTCAGCTCAGGTCATGATCCCAGGGTCCTGGGATCGAGTCCCACATCGGGCTCCCTGCTCAGTGGGAAGCCTGCTTCTCCCTCTCCCACTCCCCCGGCTTGTGTTCCTGCTCTCGCTATCTCTCTCTCTCTGTCAAATAAATAAATAAATAAATCTTTAAAAAAAAAAAAAAAGAGAGAGGGATTGCTGTTTAGGAAGATTAAAACAATTTTGGATACTTCAGTTGTTAATCAGTCTTTCAGTTATTAATCCTTCAACTGTAGAAGGCTAAACTTCAGTTTTGATGTTATTGCTTCATTATTTCTGATAGTATTTCTTTTTTTTTTTTTTAAAGATTTTATTTATTTATTTATTTGAGACAGAGAGAATGAGAGAGAGAGCACATGAGAGGGGGGAGGGTCAGAGGGAGAAGCAGACTCCCCGCAGAGCAGGGAGCCCGATGCGGGACTCGATCCCGGGACTCCAGGATCATGACCTGAGCCGAAGGCAGTCACTTAACCAACTGAGCCACCCAGGCGCCCTGATAGTATTTCTAATACTTGAGAGGGGCCCATTGAATATCTTCAGGAAGAAATAAAATAGGGATTATTCAGTAAAGTCTTTAATTCAAAGGCATCTAATGTGGATAGTCTATATCCTTTTGACCTTGTTCAATATAATATCCATTGAAATGGAAAATTTTCCATTCTGTAATATATCTGAAAAGTAGTACCTTCTGAATGTATACTCAGTGGGTAGTAGTAATTGTCCAGCAACCTGAGACTACTTCAGTAAACTATATAAAACTGGCTTTAAGGGCGCCTGGGTGGCTCAGTCATTGAGCATCTGCCTTCGGCTCAGGTCATGATCCCAGTGTCCTGGGATCGAGTCCCGCGTCGGGCTCCCTGCTCTGCGGGAGGCCTGCTTCTCCCTCTCCCACTCCCCCGGCTTGTGTTCCTGCTCTCGCTGTGTCTCTCTCTGTCAAATAAATAAATAAAATCTTTAAAAAAAAAAAACCCAAAAAACTGGCTTTAAGTGCCTCAAGTTCTAGGGGCACCTAGGTGCCTCACTTGGTTAAGCGTCCGGCTCTTGATCTCGGTTCAGGTCTTGATCTTGGTTTAGGTCTCACTCT